GAACAAGTTGTACATTCAAATTTGAGCATTTGACATTGGAGATGTTCAAAATATTTGGCATGTAGAAGAACTCACTATGATCAAGAGTTGGAGAAAATTTTAAGTCTATTGTCTAGTATATTATAGTTATTTGATAAGATGCAAGATGACACCAGCAAATGTATTCAAATAATTTACTCTTTTTTGTTATGTAGTTGACTCTATTGAAATTATGAATTATACTTGTTTTGGATCTAATGAAATATATTATACGTTTTAGAATGATTATTTATTGTTATTATTATTGAAATTAAATAGACACTATTGGCATTAAAAATGTAAAATTATTTCTTAATTTTAACTAACGATAAAAGATTGTCAACAATCACTTTTACCGGCAATATAGTGGCTCTTTATGACAATAATAAATGTCGCCAGATGTATTGCCTGGACATCTTTGAAAGACTTTTAGCGGCCTTTTTAATTGCCGGCACCAATAGCCGCTAACACTCTGAGACCTTTAGCGGCAATAAATGGGGTCTTTACCAACAGTCAGTGAAATGGCCGGTAAAGCCTTTGCCGACGCTGGATACAATGGCCAACATTTAATTGCCGGTAAAACTATTAGCGGCCATTTATATTGCCGCTAAAGACCTTTTTTGTTGTAGTGAGATTAAAGGAAGGAGGATTATCTTGTTTATTTTTGTCTTTGGGAACTTTTAAGGGATGTTTTTTATATCATTCTTGGTGATTAGCTTTGATTTCGTTCTGGTAACTCATAACTCAATGGGGCTTCCTTTGTCAGAGTGTTATATTGCAATTTATACAGGAGTCCTTACATTGTACTACCAGGCAAGGGGGTTAAAGGTACCAATTGTGCTGAATGTATATCATAAATCTTTATATGCTGATGTGGAGTAACTTTACAACATGTAAAGGAATGACTATGTAGCCCTTTTGATCTCTGATGTGCTTCATTATTGAACAGTTATTTGTAACTGCTTTCCAAGATTCGTGTATTCGCACATAGAAGTTTGAGGGGTGGGCCTATTATCCACCAAGTTTTGAACCATGTGCCAGTTGCCCTGGGGATTTCTCAGTTATAAAAAGAAAAAAGTTGGGCTGGATGAATGTGGATATCAGCCAGCTCTGGTACTGCTGTTTGTGTTCTCTAAAGTTGCTGCGGCTTTTCCTTTTCCCTATTGAGCATCTTTTTCACTTATGGCCTCTTTATTTCAAATCATTTGTATAATGAACCAATTTGAAACTGCAAATTCAGTCTTTTCAAAATGTAAATGCAGTTTTTGTATTGGTTTAATTGAACCACTTGAATAATCTTTACTTGGGGGTGGGCAGGGTTTCAGTTTTGTGACCAGAGCATGTTAGAAAGAGCTTGGACAATGAGGCTATGGTGATGAAGTGTAAAATGATGCCTCAAATGGAAAAATGTGATTTCATAATTTGCAGAGAATGTTACTTGGATAGTGTGCGAAATGGTAAGTGGATATTGTCCTGGTCGCAAAGAGCCTCCTTATAAGGGTGCTAGTGATGAACCCAACTCGGAAGCTAAAGGCCAGGCAAATCCACTGCCTTCAAGGGGTGGAAGAGGGTGAGTGAAGAAGAATTTTCACCTTTGCAGTCTTTCATGAATCTAACTCATGATTTTGGTCATGCTAGATGACATTTTAAGACTAAAGGAAGGTTTGCTGTGGCAATGGCTTGTGGCACTATGAATTTGGGAGAAGCAATGATAGATCTGAATCGTTCAGACTATGTAACAAAAAGAACTAAACCTTTTGGTGTGATATATCTTGGCTTCTCTTGATCAGTTGCCAAAGCTGTGCCCTGTGATCAACTGCTGATACAGAGAAGGAACCATCCCTTTAACTGCAAACACAGTCCTTTCCATTCTTGCTGTTGATTATCCTGTTGAAAAGGTGACATGTTGATATATCAGATCGAGGTTCTCGAGTGACATTTGAAGCTCTTGCGCAGCCGCAAGCTTTGCAAGATTATGGGTTCTCTTCTGTAAAAAGCATCACATAGAGCCTGGAAATCTTTGAGGCATAATTTGGCAAAAGTATGATCCATTGAAGAACAAAGTGACCTGATTATTAGGGACAAAACAAGGGTGAAGAGATATATGATGAATTCAAGGTGAGGGTTTAGATGCCTTGCCAGATTCAATAAGGTGTAGCTGAATTTGGAGGAACCAAGGAAGGCTGCTGCATGAGTTGCGACAAAAATTTTGCCTGAGAAAGCCAGCAAGTTCTCTTGCTGTACAGAGTGAGCTTGGGATCTCTTGAAGGCTCTTTTTATGAAATTTCTGAGAGGTCAACCGGGGCACGGATGCTTTATTTATCACCTACTGAACTCTTCATCACTTACTGAGACCATGGGTTTCATATGTTGCTATTATGAAGACGAAACCAAATGGGGAAAACAGGTATATATGGATATATGTTTCGACTACAAAAGATTTGACAAGTTATATTCTATACATAATAGGGGCTGGAGATCAGTTTATAGATGTTGTGACAGGTTATGTTGTATACATAATAGGGGTTGGAGATCAGTTTATTGTGTAACAACAGGAGAATCTTCTAGAGGGACAACCTCAATTAATCTGACAGATAGGCTCCTCCAATTTCTCAGATGGTCAAAAGGTTTGATTAAAATCTTCTTTTCGCAACAATGCTCTATATGCAGCCCCAATAATGAAGTTTCTGTAGAGGGTGGTGTATTTCAATGTGGTAAATGTATCACTTCAATTTTCCTCCTTGTTTATTGAGTTTTGCCTGCAATTCACTCTTCTCAGGAAAATTCATTTGTACAAATCCCTCAGTATTACCTTTTTGGTGCTCTACTGTCTAGTGCAGCTGTGCGGAACCAATATTTCACCAAGAGGATTAAAAATATAAAATCGTAAACATACAAAGAAGCCAACATAGAGTATATACTAAATAAACATATAGTATATTTACCTATCTACATTGTGCAAATTTCTAGCGATGCTGTTAATTGGCGTACAAAGGTGGCTCTGCCACAACATAGCGGGTAATTTAGTGCACCGGGCCTGCTTTTTTATCTAGACTGATTTACTTATTTCAGTTGCTGTTGAGTGTTGTATCAAGCTTATACACAGGAGTTTGTATTTTTCTTCCAGTATAATAGCATATTAACGATACCCAAAATTACTGTTTGTGAGTTAAAACTAAGAATGCCATCTCCTAGAAGTTCGTTTTATTAGCATATCTTAATTTGGATTAGAATTGTTCCCCCCACATTTTCAACAGTAGACCTCTTTGGGATGATTGGACCTGAAACCCACTCTTCTACTGAAAGTTTTAGGCATAACACATATGAAGAATTAGCACTTTAGCATTTGAGCCATTGCTAAATAAATACAAGTTAAAGATATCAAGTAATAGAAGTTGGTTAATCTGCTGAAGTTGTAAGGGCAGATAATGTTGTGTAAGATATACGCAATATGGTCCTCTCTTTCTCATATTCCGCATACAGTGAGAGCTTAGTGCATCAGCCTGTTCTTTTGATCTAAAATAATTTTCAAATTCCAATACTCTAAGACGATTGGACCTAAAATCTCTTACTTGATGTTGTTTACTAATATTTTCTTGTGTAGGTTCTTATTATTAAGTGTTGTAGTTGGAATTCGAGTATGTGCTTTTGTTTCTCATGCTAAGTTGAAAAGTTAAATATATATATATCTGAGCAACTGAACATGTTTAAAACACTATTGAAGGTAAAGATGTTGAGAATATTAAGACTTATATCACTTAAGTAGAAACATCAAAGAAAATCACATCGTAATGATCAATCAAACAGACGGTTACAATCTATCCTAGTGAAGGACATCCTCATTGTGTTAAAGTCAATGCTAACATAGAAATATTGTTGTGCCCAAACTCCAAGTATGCTAAAAGGCATCTTCTTACTTTCAGAAATTTGTATAGACAAGCAGAAATGATCAACGCGATCTTGTCGAAATAAATTGTCAGCACTAAACTCCATTTTAGCATTTTCAGAAAAAAGATATGCTATAGTTGGAAGTACTTTAAGATCCCGAGTGACAATTCCATAGTAACAAAGCTCGTCTGGCCTGTTGCTTATAAATTCTTCTAACGTCGTACCAATCACAGATTTAATTTCTTCCTTCAGTTTCTTGTAAGCTATCTCAGGCAAATAACTCGAAGTGGCCCCACTATCAACAATCATTCCACCTTGGTGATCGATCCTCTTGAATATGATTGGATCAATGTCAAGAAACTTGTCCCCTACACTGATCTTTTCTAAAGTTATGTAGTATTTGCCTATAACCATAAACATGGGAGTGGATGCTCCTTCAATTATAGGCTTACCTCCCAAAGTTAATGCGTTTGAATCATATTCTATATCAGTTATATTACCAATACAATATGAAAATCCTGTATAATTTTGTTGAGAAACCAAAGAAACAGCTCGTTGTCCAAGCCCAAGAACTCCACGAACCTTATCTGCACCTTCAGAAAATATTGATGAACATCCAAAAATAAGACGCTTGAAAAATCACTTCTGTTCAATTGCTTAACTCAAATGCCACAACTTCAGACGCAAGATGTCCCCTAGTCCTACCTGTTGCATAAGAATAAGTATACTCACATCTCCTCGTCGAGACACCACATTTGCCTTTAAGAATCATAAGATCACAAACAGATGTCCCACAATACACATCTTCAACATATGATGAAGATTCTGCATAGCAGTATAATGGAGCTGGTGATTCTTCACCACCAATAATAAAGCCACAATGAACCCAAAGTAACAAACTACCGGTGTCCATGGTAAGAATTTGTGGTACGGGGGGCGTACCAATCTTTAATGGAACAAGAAACTTAGAGGTATATGCTGGGTAAATCTAAAATTTATTGCCATCTTTTTCCAGATCAGTTATAAGATATGAAATGCGAGTCTCTGATCTCTCATTCATTATTCTCACACGATCTTCGAGTGTGAGTTCTGGATTGTAGAAAGGCGAGTTCACGGCTTCATAGTGAATCATTTTTATGACTAGTCTCTCATGATGGTATGGGGAACTTGGTGCGGTTACAAAATTTTGTAACAGTACTAATATTACAAGAAGCAATTCCATCATTTTCAGAAATTAACAGGAGAGCTAGCTGTTGGTTATTTTTTTTGCCTTTCCTTTGGAAACTAGAGACAAGTAATTAAGAGAAATGGGGTGCATGGAGTCATATGGATAGTTTCTTCTTATAGATGCATTCTTAGTTTCTGATCTAATTAGACGCTTCTTTTTCTGTGAGTTAACTACTCATTCAACAACTTAGGTACATAAGGTTTGAGTTCTTAATCTTGTCAGAACACACATTTTGCGAGTGCATATATAGTTCATAAGAAGTTGATGAAGTATACATGATTATAAAATATTGAAGAAAATAAGAATATATCGAGAGAGCACAAAGGGCCCTTTTAGCTATTAAAAAGAATCATTTTTTCCGGAATCAGTGTTTGATCTTGAAAATTTCAAACTTCATTTGAAGTTGAATTTCGGAATTTTTCGAAAATTTGAAAAACTCCAAAAAAACTGTTTTTCAAAATTTTCACTTCAAATCAATCAAAAAAAATCAAAAACGGCTTCAAATTGTATTTGTGTCCAAATAAAACTCTAATTTTCAAATATCATTTTTACTTGAATTCTTTTTCTTTTTCAGAATTTTACAAATTCTTATGTTTCTAACGCCCACTTAGTAAAACAAGTGGAAAAGTTATTTTCTCGTTCCTATGAATACATGAAGTGATCATCTAAAATTTCTACAGTAATACTTTGAGTTCTTTTCATTTCTTAAATTACGTATATTTCAACATTTTACATTCTTGGAGAGAGCCTGATTCCTTATGTACGATTTTTTTTTTTTTTTTATGAGTTTATAACACGCACGCAAATTATTATTAATAATGTATCGATTTAGAAACCCTACTTTTTCTAATCCCACATTAGGTTATGTAACCTAATTTTTTTTACACTTGTTATATATCTTTTTTTCTACCGGTTAATGTACTCTATTTTCAGGTCCAAAAAGAAAGCTTGTTCTGCAGCAAGTGGACTCCGAATGTCATGAATTACTTGTGATGTAACCACCTGCAGGTTGAAAATGTTTTGAAGGGGAGTCTTGGCGTAACTGGTAAAGTTGTTGTCTAGTTACAGGTTCGAGCCGTGGAAACAACCTCTTGCAGGAATGCAGGGTAAGACTGCGTACACTAGACCTTGTGGTCTAACCCTTTGCCGAATCTTGCGCATAGCAAAAACTTAGTGCACCGGACTACCTTTATATCAACTGCGGCAGATTGAGTCGCTTTAATTGTACTGCCAACAATAAGACTAAATTACAGAAACTCCACTTGGGGCTTTGTTTGCAATAAATTTGGGCAGAAAAAGAGAATTGCAATCACAAACAACTATAAAGAAAAAAGAATTTTATTGATAAACATTGTAGGTTACAACTCTGTTTATCCCTTGATTCCTTCCCTCCGATTTATTCTACGTGATTCGAGGGCCTTAGCGGCGTATTTCTCGAACGTAGGACTTTTAGCAAGACATATTTGACATGTCTTTTATCTCTTAATGAATATTCCAAGAGTTTCATGGAATTTCGGAGATCTCGTATTTGATCTCCTTGTGCATATTCCGATAGTTTATGGAATTGCTGAGATTATCTTTGAAGAACATATGTAGCCTTATTTATAGGCATGGATCAAGGTTTGGGTGGAGTAGTCACCAAGTAATCCTAATAGACTCCTAATATTTCAAGAGTAGTCTTGAATATAGGATTTATCTTGATCTGTTAAAATTTCAGTGTCTACAGACTAATTAAATATTTGATCTTAAAATACAAGAAGTACTGTATCATATTACATGGATGTTTAATGTAATTCACCCTCTGAGATTAGTAGTGTATATTTCACACGCAGGTGGGGTTGTTCACAAAAATCCGAAAACTGAACCAAGATGAACTCGAACCAAATCGATCAAAAAACCCGATACTTTTTTGGTTTCGTTGGTTTTGGTTTTGAATTCTAAAATTGATCAAATTTGATTTAGTTTTGGTTTTAATCAAAAAATAACCGAAAAAACCAGAACCAAACCGACTATAAAAGTAGCTATTTAAACTTATTATTACACCTATATATATGTATATTTTTATATAAAGTTTCTAAAATTTTATAGTACATATTAGTCATTTATATTTTTAGTCTAGTTCTTTGCTATTATAATAATCTAATTTTTTGCCTTTATATTCTGGTTTGATTGGTAGTTTTCTTTTGCTAAGTACAAGAATTTATTTCATGTTAAAAATAATCAATTTTTAATTGAGTAGTTAAATTATTCACCACTATTTGATTTAGTTATCATTAATATATCTTGGTAAATGATAGACTTGTCAAAGAGAAATTGATTTGATAGTGTTACATTGAAAATGTAATCAACCGGAATATGCATTTGGGTAGTGTGTCTCATATTTAAGAAAAAAACCGATAAATAACCGAAAAATCGAAAAACTCACAAAAACCGAATCGATAAAAAACTGGCTTAATTGGTATGGTTTGGTTCCAATATTTGAAAAACCGACTTACTTGGTTTGGTTTCTTTTTAGGAAAAAACCGACCCAAACCGAACCATGAACACTCCTGCGTACAGGTTCATGCGTGCGTTATCAATTGTCAAATAGAAGAACCTTTTTTAAAAAGGGTATTATATATTTTTGAAGGAATTTGCAACGGATACGTAATATATATACCATTTAGTACTACGAGTTATTGTATCAAAATTGGTAAAGAAGAATCCTTAGTCCAACTTTACCTTGAATTACGCAAAGTGTTATAAAATCTGACTAAAAACAACAATATTAACACATCTGCCGTTCCCAATTAGAAATTTCTCTTTGACTAAGGGGAGAGTGATCTCATTTACCCCACCACATTCTTTCATAGTGATATTATACGACTTTTTTTTCTTTTAGTTAATTTTTTCCTATTGTGGAACTGAAAAAATGGAAGCTCAAAACTTCACTCTCATCACCATCATAATTGTCCTCTCTATATTCGTCTCACCGACTATTGCATGGATAGACAAACAGATAGACGAAAGTTTTTTCGTAAACACAGAAAATTGCGTAAACCTTTCGTTTACTCCAATGTAAAAGCAAGTGTATGAAGAAAGTTTAAGGGTTATCCATGAATGCAACGAGGATTTCCATATTCAAATCCATGGTTATGAGGTAACAGGTTGATGGCCAGTTTCAGAATTCTATGAAGCTTTAAAACAAGTTTCGATTTTCAACAATAATGAAACTGCGTTGACACAACATATTGTTGGGATCATGCCCATGTTGTCCAGCCAAAGGCCCAATGACCTAATCCTATTCTCTTTTGGTTTTCAATCCTATTTGGAATTGGATTTGGTTTATTCCTATTTTGAGAGAGTTTTGACTTTAAGAGAAAGCACCACTCATGATCTATAAATAGGACAACCTTGGAGAATTATTCTATGCTCATTGATACAAGTCTTTGATAGACTTAAGCATATAAGAGTGGGTTTTGAGAGAGCTTTCATCAAGAGAGAAGACAGAAGAAAAGTATTTGTTTTGCTGCAGATTTTTATTCCGACCAGCCAACTTCAAATTACGTTTTCCGATTCATTAACCGTTGGATCGGGCTGAAGTTTTGACTGAGTGTTCGTAACATCTTGATCTTGGATTTGAACGATAGAGATTGGATTTGGAGGCTCGTAGCATCTGATTTCGAGCCTCGAACAGCAGCTTCATTTTGTGGATTATACTCTTTCTTCAATTGATTAATTGTTGCTCTTGTTGCTATTGTTGCTCCGTGTTTGGCCTTGTTGTGTAGCCAATTTGGAGAACTTTTGTAACCCTCTTATTGTTATAGTGGAGCTTTTTGGATCTTTGTGATCCCGTGGTTTTTACCTTCGATTTGAAGGGTTTTCCACGTTAAAATTTGGTGTTCTTTATCTTCTTTATTTTCGGGTTTGCCTCTTCCTCGACATTAACACATATTTGTTATTTAGCCTTTCCTGAGAAAGTTAAGGACAGTGCTTCACATATCAAAAGGCGTTTCATATTATTAGAAACATTATGTATAGCTTTAGATCCAACAATGATCATCCATCAATATTGCGATTCTTGCGAATTATGACTTTGCAGTTTTATGTATGTCTATTTATTAAAATGAATTTTGGAGTGTCGTATTCATGAAAAGCTACTTGGTTTTGAAGTCTTTGTGATAGATTCTATATATCTAAACTTTGTAGTATACTTTTATTTCTTGTCCATATGGTGACATTAGTAATGCAGCATCCCACTAGGAATAAGTTGCCTTTGGTAGGAAGCTAAAACGGGGGCTTGTGGTAGGGAGCATTTTACCTCCAAAACTATATGGTTGGTAAATAATTAGAAATACTATCATAGTTTGTGTACAGCTGAGTTACTAACCTGAACTTTTTTAACTTAAAAAAGATTATAGAATACAACTTTTTTACAGTGGTGTACCGTACCATATGATATTATACTAATAAAAAAGGCCTTAATCCTAGATAAGTAGATATTGTTATTACGGCTAGAAAAATGATGAGTGGTGTTCTCTGCTTAGGATGTGCTTGATATAATAAAAATTATTTTTCATCAATATATTTTTTGCGAGAAAGTCATTTTTAATAGTGGATCACCAGTTTTTCATGGAAACGGATCTATTTTTCGAGGTGTACCTATGATATTTTATATTAATAAAGAGCCCTTAATTCGTTTTCTTATGTTCGAAAAGAAAATGAGTGGTATTTTTTGTTTAGGATGTATTTATTAGTATGACAAAAGTCATTTTCAGGTAAAAATTTGTTATGAGAAAGTCATTTCATGGTGTTTGATTACTAGTTTTTCGTCAAAAGGAAGAATATAGCTTCTAGCACATATGGCAAAATCGTTTTCTTTCTTTTTTCAACAGCATAATCATTTTCAATACAATTAGAGTTTCTGGCTTTCTGTTATACCATACACACGTCTAGAATCCTAACGCGTTGTACCCTTAAAACTATGTTAATGGGTTTGGGCTCCCTTTGCAGAAAGCTGGGATGTATAAAGAAAATTGATAAATAGCACCAAACCGGCAATTTGAGTTCCGGAAATTTAATTTAGTTTGGTATTGAAGAAAAAAATCCAATCGTTATTGGTTTGGTTTGGTATTAATTAAAAAAAGTCAAACCTAAATCATTATATGTATACAATCTTTGCAAATATGCTAAACATAAAAACATTTATTATAAGGTAATTTATAATTTTTATTTTTATTTTTTTTGTACAGTTTCTATCTTTTAACATAATATTCAGGTTCGGACTTAGAATTTTTGAAAGGTCCAATAAATTTATGAGTGGCCCACCAGTGTCTAGGTTGTAAGTCAGATAAAGTCCAAACTAAAACCTAATCAAAATCAACACTAAATAATAAAGGAAAATTACCAGGTATGTTCATTTATAAGTATCTTATTACAAAAATTGGCCAATTCATCAAATATTACTAATATTAGCCAAATGTTACCAATATTAGCCAATTAGCTATTTATAGCTAGAAAAAGGTCAATTTTTTGCTTTCTCTTGAGTTGTTGTTATTAGAATAGACTAGTATACGTACCCGCGCGATGCGCGGATTGTAAAAACAATATATTAGCATGATAATATTGCTCTTAATTATTTGCTCATTTGAATTCTATTGAAAGTATGGTATGACAGTAGTAGCTTTCTTGAAATGAGAGATAAATTGTGAAATATTCCAAGAGTTAAAGTGATAAAGACATTCATAAGTGTACTCTGGCCTGTGAAAATATGCAATACAAATGCAAGAATGCAAAATGAACAGAAAGTAAACAGTAATGTTAGTAATAATTTGTATGCTTCTTTCTCATTATGGTTTATTCAGCTAACTGAAAACTCAAAACTTTACTGTATTATTACACGAGTGTTGAACTATTCCAATTGTATCCAATTATGGAGCTAACACTCTCAAGATTGTATATGACTGTGGTTTCTTACATCTCTACTTCAATAGATGTAGAGATGAATGAAGTGACATCAATGGCTGACTATGAGCAAATAAATGATGCCTTAACTCCAAGCTTGGACGCGAAAGTGAGATAACAATAGGAAAATATAATAAATATCACTTTTCGATTGTGACAGGTTCAAAAACATCAGGGAAGAAAGATCTTTTATGTTCTCGACTCCAGCATCAGCTAACACACAACCACAAAGGTCAAGTGATTGCAGATTTAATTTCTGATTCCTCCTAATCAAGAGTTGAGATTGTTGAATCTTGAATTTCCAACCACCATATTGCAAAGGAAGATATGCTATCCATTTTAATAGGGAACGGGAACTCGCACCGATGCAGGCCCTGATTTCATATCCTCCAAAAGAAGATTTAGCAAAGCTTGTGTCACAGAACCTTCTCTACCTACAGTAATGAGGAAGAAGCAGAAAGTAAATGAGAATACCATCAGTAAAACAGCTAAACCCATTTTACAACTACTTCAACGATCGTAAATTTATATGTCCCTCTTGCATAAATATGACACAAGATTCAGATGGGACTGGTGTTCAGAAAGAACAACAATGAGTGAGCATATATTAGTATCTAATATCTGTCTAGTCTCAGTTTGTCAAACATTACTTTCTTTGGACCACGAAATTAACAAACGTTTCTTCCTCCTCGAATTTTGAAATATCATATTTGGAGCAGCATATGAAACACAAGCAAATCGAATAAAGTTTACACTTCAGGTCTAAAAATGAATCTTAGGTATAACAGTTACTATGGACAATAATGGCACAGTACACAGCAAGGCGAGATTACTATTTATATGCATGAGCATGAAGGAATAGTATGAGATGCTCGTCCTTTGTGATCGTTGTCCAAATATTATTAAGAAGTCAAGTTCAAAATTCTGTTTTCGAGCTACCAACGTGACAAAGAGATAAGAGAATAGTATGGGACTTCCATCCGTTTGCCTCCCTCAGTAGTTGAGGAACAGAAGTTTGAAGACAATGAAGTCACTAGTGAAACTGCTCCTCCTGATGAAAAAGGATGGAAAAAATCAGATAATGTCGTCATTGATATTGAGAAGGCTACAGTGTCAGCAGCGATAAGCACACCAACATCTGGTGATGCAGTGAAAAATAAATAAATATGAGTGCAGTAGAGAAAGTTGAAGAAAATTTACCTTTGGAACGATTGGTTACACCTCTATGAGATGTGTTCCAGCTGAAACATTATGGCTATTGCTACGGTTAAGGAATTGTACATAGAGAACAACATTAACTTCTTACATCAAAAAATAAAAGACCCCGGATTATGACCAGAAGGTTAGTAAAAGCTACAGAGCAGGCAAGAGGGCAAATATCTCACCATGCTTAAGTGTATGGCTAACAGCAATATGCGATAGATAATATGAATCACAATTGTTATTTTGCTGATGTTAGGAAATGAAGTCAACTTTCAATATCTGAAAAGTATAATGCTGAAAACACCAATTATCACTTGAACCACTCACATTTAAGCTTCATTTTATTTAGCCAAACATTTTGCAAACAGATCATACAATAAAACAATGCACAAAATCAATGAAAATACATTATGCAGGTTTTTTCTTTTTCTTGGAGAATGGAGCACTGCAGCAGTAAATATTCAGTTAAGGAAGCACAAAACTCATAACAATATATAGAGTCTAATCAAGATACATAAGCTAAGATATCAAATCTGAAGACTGACTTAAGACATGGAGTGATAGGAAGGATACAATGAGAAATATCCATCGGGTCTGAACAAAGTAACTCTTTGGCCACCATTGAAGCCTAAATGGATGTAGCTGCTCTTCTTTCTTGTATTTTAGCTTGTACAGTACTACGAGTCCAGCCAGGAAAAAGTTGTTGTATCATGGATAAGTCACTCCCAAACTGCTGACAACAGCTGAAGACCATTTTTGTTCTAAATGTGTAAGAGCAAACCAAGGACAAACAAAAGAGGAAGGGAGTGCATAACAGTACTATTTGTGCTCAATCACAGCAGAAACCGCTGTTTGAGGAGCAAAAAAATTGTTCCTTTTCACAAGCTTTTTCTTCCACCTTAAACCCACACAAACCAGCTTTAAACCGGAACTTAAAACAGCCGCAAAATACTCCAAAAAGCCGAGAAAATCAGCATCAAACAGTCCGAAATGCTGCGACATTCTCACCTAAAAACCGTCCAAAAATTCCAGCTTTAAACCTGCTGCCGATATCGCTGAAAAACAGTCAACAAATCTGGACCAAGAGTAGCCAATACGTAGAAAAATACGGCTATAAGATCTGCCGCAAAACTCACCCTAAAAAGTCAGTCAAAACAGCCCCCCGTAAGTTCCGAAAATCAGCCTAGAACGCAGCTTAAATTGTTCCAATACGCAGCAGGAAAAGGACATGTAAATATCCATGAAAGCAAACATAAAACCAGCCCCAAATAAGCTGCGGAGAAAAAGCTGTACGATGAAGTGAAGGTGTGTTTATCTAACTCTTTTTTTTTGGTTTGAGACTAATCATCACGAATGAATTCTGTGTAGTTCTCTTATCTTTATGTTGCATTATATTGTCTTCTAGATGCATTCTCTTTCTTCCATGTTTTCCCTTCGCCTGTTTGGTCTCCTCATAAGCAGATACTTACTTTATTTACATGATTTTTACATCATATGCTTACTAAGTTATAGTAGCTTTCAACCTTCATATGAGACGAAAGGTTCACGTCCCTGATGTTAATTTCAAAATATTGTCTTTAGTACCTGTGAAAGGCAATAAAAAAATTCAGTAAGGCGTCACATTTGTACTTCGTGCTAACACAGTTTATCAAAATGACATTCTCAAAAATAATATTAAGTAATGAGTTCATCATATGAAAATAGGATCAGATATTCGTTGCAGAATGATTGACCTGGTGTATATACTCGGAAATAAAGTTTTTGGCTAAGGTACTGCGTTGCCCAGAATTGAGGCCTCAGGTAGCTTCAAGCTTATATGATTTTCGTCCTACTTTATCCTTCACCTCAATTAGTATAGAGCATCAACTACATCGGAAAAATGGAAACTCAAGGTTTTAGCCAATTGACAAAATGACTGCAACGGTGTAGATGAAAGCAATATGATTTATCCCCGAGAAAAAAAAAGGAGGCAAGCAGTATGATGTGATCATTCCGTGCAAAGACGTCGACAAATACATATTCTAAAAGAAAAGACATCTATACATACAGATAAGTACTGTGCAAATGAACTTCACCCTAAGCAACTTCATAGCAATTGATATGAAGCTAAGACCAAGAAAGGAGCACTTACCAAAAGCCATTGCATAGTCTGGTCGCACAAGGAGAGCACGCTGGTAACACATAATGGCCTCCTGTGGCATTCCCAGAGCCTGGAAAATGCAAGGCAGAAATACATATGTCCCATATTCTTACAACGGCACTTGCACCACAGACCATATTAGCACAAAGCAGAAGGTATTACCTTATACACGTTTCCCATGTTCAAATATGCATCTGTAAAATTTTGTTTTAGCTTGATGGCTTCCTGGATATGTGTCACGACCCCAAACCCGGTCGTGATGGCGCCCAACAATATTGCTAGGCAAGCCAGACCACAATCGTTCCCAAATTAACCGTAAACCTCAAACCGACAATCTAAAGAGATTATAATAGTTTTAGAATAATAATCCAATATTTATAATAGAATAATACTGAGAAAAATACGAAGTCTGATAAAACGCTCCCAAAGACCTGGGGTCACGAGTCTAGAGCCTCTAAAACAATCTGAATAACAATATCTGAACGAAAATACTCAAGTCTGGAAATGTATATATAAATAAAACTGAAATAGGAAGAGTAGTCAGGTCCTGCGAACGTCAAGCAGCTACCTCAACAACTCTGATAAGCTCTGGGAAACAAAGACTGCTCAGCTAAGCCTCCGGTGTACCTGAATCTGCACACAAGGTGCAAGGAGTAGGGGTGAGTACTACCGACTCAGTGAGTAATAAGCATATAAAATGTCTGAAGATAAGAAATCCACGAAATGCCACAAAGTAAAGCTAAAACTAACAGTCCATCACCTAACTACGACCCAACAACAAAACAACTTCAAATATATCAGTCAAGTATAATATAAGGATGCAATGCAATGCACATGACCGCTACGGTGCGTAGCCCGATCCATTTAACGTCGACGGCGCTCACTGGGGGTGTATACAGACTCCGGAGGGGCTCCTTCAGCCCAAGCGCAATATAATCATACCATTCGCTGCGGCGTGCAGCCCGATCTATACTCAGTCCACAATATGCATATGAGTCACGTAACAGATTCAATTAATTTCCCAATTTCCAATTTATTAAGGAGAATATACTTTAGATATTTAACTTCAGGAAAAGTGACTTAGCATTTCATAACAGTGATTAAACACAGGACTGAGATCAATGATTACACAAAGCATGCTATCACAATGACATTCATCCTCTAAGGATGCTACAGATCGGCACAAGGCCCCAAACACGGCAATAAGCCCAGATATATTCAATACAGGGTACGTATCAGTCGCCAATATAGAAACATTCTTGTTCGGGATGGACTAAGTCTCAGTCCCCAGTCATAACTAATCCCGCACCTGCGATGGGGTGCGAGTCACACCCTACAATAGTGTCACAATGTGATAAGCCGGGGTTTCAAACCCTCAGGCCATCATATACACCAACTACTCACCTCTAACCGGCCGTAGACTGGTCCGCAATGCCTTTTTCCTTTGTATCGACCTCCTCGCGCGTCGAATCTAGTCAAAATCACAGCGAATACATAAATATGGGTTAAAGAAACATAACCCAATCAAAAATACTCGAAAAGTACTAAAATTTACGAAGTTGGTAAAACCCGAGCCCCGGGCGCACTTCTCGAAAAATTCCGAAAATCACACCAACGGATTCCTCGTCTCGCCACGAGTCCGTACATATAAAGTTTACCAAAATCGGAACTCAAATGACCTCTCAAATCTTCAAATCTTATTTTCAAATCCCTAGGTCCAAAATCTCCAATTTACACCTCAAAAACATGTAATCTAGTCGGGTTATTCGATGATAATTCAATATTATGGAGTAGAAATAATCACAAGTGACTTAACTCAAGATTTCCCATGATTTCTTGCTCAAAATCGCCCCAAGCCGTGTTATTTCGCAAGAAAATAGGTAAAAAAACGAGCAGAAACGCAGCAGCTTTTAATAAGCAAATCTAGTCGCTAAAGACCCAAATCTGGTTGCTAAAGGTGCTAATCTGGTCGCTAAAATTGCCACACCAGACCTGATGCACCAGCACTCTTTAGTTTCACTAAAAAGGCTCTAACTCCTCCGTACGAACTCGGAATTATACGATTCTTATTCCTATGAGTCACAAATAATAATACCAACACAACACTTCAATCGAAACTCAATTCGGAGCTCATTTGCCCAGTGCGATATCCATTTCGCTCGTTAAACAATTACTCATGTTTCGCGTCAAAAACCCAATCGCGACTTGATGAAATTAGACCAAAATTTCCAGATCAGTCCTATAATTCATTATCAAAATTCCGAAAGTCTCGGAATCAAATTTGGATCTCTAGAACTAAAAATGAACCTTTAGATCATTACATTTATGCTCAAAAAGGCAAAAATCTTTCAAAAACTCTTCCAAAATTTATCCGAGCCTCATGGGATCCCAACAAAGTATACTAGCAAGTCCCATAATATATTACGGACTTGCTCGAGGCCTCAAATCACATCAAACAACGCTAAAATCATGAATCAACCTCCAATCCAAGCTTTCTGAACTTTAGAACTTCCAACTTCTATTTCCGATGCCGAAACCTATCAAATCACGTCCGATTGACTTCAAATTTTGCACACAAGTCCAAAATGACATAACAAAGCTACAGCAACTCTCGGAATTCCATTCCGACTCCCGGATCAAAATTTCACCTCTCAACCGGAAATCGCCAAAATACTACCTTCGCCAAAATAGGCTAACTTCTTCACCGGACCTCCAAAATTACTCCCAATTGCGCTCTTAAGCCTTAAATCATCACCCGGAGCTAACCGAATCATCGGAATTCAATTCCGAGCCTTCTAACTCACAAGTCAACATCCGGTTGACTTTTCCAACTTAAGCCTTCTTAAAAGAGACTAAGTGTCTCATTTCTTATCAAAATCATTCCAAATCAATTCTAACACACCCAATACCGATAATGAAACATAAGAAAGCAGAAAATGGGAAGAACAGGGTAGTAACTCATGAGATGACGGGTCGGGTCGTCATAATATTAGAAGGTTGAATCACAAAAATGGTGAGTAAACTTAATGCCAAAACAAATCCAACACTCTGGATAACGTAATATGCGAAATGATTTAAGGTATTCCATACCTTGTAGTATTGTAATGCCCTGTTAAGATCACCTGCATCCATGAAGAGGCTAGCAAGATTGGACCATGCAACGGCAAATGTAGGTTGTATACGTAGTGCCTCCATACATGTAGGTTGTAACCCTCTCGTCATACATGTACTAAACCTTGCATATAAACCTTGCATACAAATTGTGACAGATACTTCCTGCTTGACTTAGTCACTGAATGATTACAAGTATCCTTTTGTAGTATCTGGTTTGATAAAATCATGAGACTTTTAGTTGAGCACAACGGAAAACAACTCACCATTCTACACGGATACAATCAAGAGCATATTAGCACTGTTTCCGGCAAATATACTGGGCAAATAATTTTTTTATTGATTATAAAAATATTTAGTTGCTACAGTTCGTTCCATATCACTTAAATAACTCTTTAAATAGAATTGGAATAACTGGAACAACTTCTTATACAGTTGATGCCATGGGGATCAAAGAAATTTCATATAAATCTTAGCAAGTACTTTAATGATACTGCAAAAATGTTGACTTTTCTATAATCTATACAAAATTGTTAATCCTAGTTTCAAAAATAGAAACAGAAATACTACAGAAAAGAACTTTAAACTATGTGAAAGTTAAATATGTTACCTTTGAATACTGTAAAACCAATTTTATGGAATATGATATTTCAGGCTTGAATCGATCCGTATGTATGTATATAAAAGGGCTAAGAAAGTCTCAGTATTTTACCTCTTCCACTAACACGTGTGCTTTCATCTGATTCCCAAGATTGCTATGTGCATCAACCTAGAATGAACACAAGTGAGTTAATAAACAAACATAGAAGGATGCAAATCATCTGAGCTATTAAAAAGAAGCTAAAAACATAGGTAAACTCGAATACCAAACGAGGATTTAAAGCTAGTACCTAACGTCAACATTGAGCTGCCTCACTCAGCCTTCCTTTCCTCATATATACACCAGCTAGATTTGACCAAGCGTCAGCAAAATTGGGACGCAACTGCAACACAAATTTTGACTTAGATTATGTCATCCAACAATAATGAACCATAAGTATTTCATAGGAAACACCTTTACTGTATTACTATATGAAGGTTTTAATGTACCAAAAGCCAAACTTGCAAATTCAGTAAGGCGTCAAAGGCAATACAAAAATTAAGTAAGACGTCACATTTGTACTCGTGGTAACACAGTTTATCAAAATGACATTCTTAAAAATAATATTGAGTAATGAGTTCATCATATTATTCTAACCTGTGTGGTACAACGTGAAACTGCGTCTATAAGATTGTATTGTGTTTTACTTGCAGGACTCCATCTACCTTCATCCATTCTGTGAAAATTACAGTATCTTGTTGTATTGATTCAGTTATTAAATCCATGTGGTTTATTAATGAATAGAATGAGATGTTAAGGAGTAATTACCCAACGACAAAGAAAGAGTAACCATCAAGATGCCAGCTTTGCATAATGTTATCTGTATTCTGGAAAACAATCTGCACAAATGGTTTGTAATCTGGTCCCATAACTCCCATAATAAGCGACCAATTTATTGGAATAAAAAATGTAGCAACAACAGCTGGTTGAGGAGCACAAAAATTGTTCCTTTTCACAGCCTTCTTCTTCCAACTTAAACCCACACAAACCAGCTGTAAACTCCTAAAACAGGACCAAAATACTCCAAAAATATGTGAAAATAATCCTGACGTATCTGTATTTACAACATTTTTTTAAATGTTAATTTTTATATAGAATAGAGAAATAGAGAAATATATTCAAAAAACAATAGAAAGTGAAGCGTACCTATCCAAAGCTAAAAATGTCTTATCAACAGCTGTTGTCACCCTTGGTTAATGAATCTCAGCAATAAAAGTAACCTCAAAAAAGATACTGATTATCTTTTGAGTATCAGACTAGATTTCGAAAAACTTCTTTAAATACAACATTGGTAGCTTTAGTAGTTATTTGCCCATCGTCATCATAAACCAAAATTTTTAATCCCTTTCTGGTTGTAACCCGAGAAAGAGCAACATATAGTTGTCCATGTGTAAAAACTGGCTTCTTCAAAAATAAACCCACGTGAGACAATGACTGTCCTTGATTTTTGTTGATTGTCATGGCAAAAGAAACAATGATTGAAAATTGTCTTCGCTGGAACTTAAATTGAATTCTAGCATCAGATGGAGTCAATGTCATTCTTGGAATAAACAC